ATGCAATTAATCTTATAATATTTTAATTTAATGAAATAAGGAACTGCACGAAATATTTATTGCAAACTATAATAAATAAATCATAATCATACCTGCAAAAAGTTACTTCCATCCTTCAAAATTATGTTTATTATCTCCAAAAGACGTTTTTTATCTTTGATATAGACATTTTTTAATTTCAGTGTTGGAAACTACATTAGGAAATGAGATTCATTAAATTATTTAAAATTTTTAAAGATCTAAAATTCTAATTATCTTGCATTGAACTGTCCATTAAGAAATTGTACTTCCGTATAAATCGTTCCTGCAGATTTGTTTTATGTACATATTGAGCTACAGCAAGTTACAGTATTGCAAATGAGGTTACCGTTATTATTAAATGTTTGTTCTCGATTTCTTTCTCTATGTCTTTGCTGTATTCATAAAAATAATTTAAAAACATTTTCAAATGATAAAACCAAATTTTCGGTAAAATTGTTAAAATAATTTTATTAAACAATCGTATTAGATTTAGCTTGCAAACATTTTATTTTTTTAAGTTTCATCACGACTGATTCTGTGACCGAATCACAGAATCAAAGGTAATTTACATTTCAAATGTAATATAATCATACTACAATCAATTTTTGTTAGTTATTTGTTCTGCTGTCGTTTAACACACGAATAGTACATATGTAAACATGTCATTCATCGTAGCACGTTACTTTTGACACCATTACGGTACATTTGTCATTTCCTGTTTCTCTGCGTTCAAAGTTCAAAGAGCTTAGCAATTTTTTTAACAGAAAAACTTGCAGACAAAGATGGATAATACATATTACATAAAACGGTATTGCTCTACAATTGTAGAGCTTTGTTGTACTATTTCGTTGCGTCATCTGAACGTCATGAATTTCTTAAAATTATCTTGCAATTAATATATGTATATCATATTTTCATATCGTAAAAAAATTTTGAAAATAGGTGTTATGAAAAATAGCGCTATTATGAGAACTTATTAATCGTACGAAGGTTATGTGACGTTACATTGATCATCAAACATTGAAATGGAACGGAGCCAAACATGATTGGTCAAGAGGGAACTCGTGTGAAATTTAAAATGCTTACGTCGTCCAAACTTATCTCGAGAGTCATGGTCCTTCCTTGCGCGACGGGACCACAGTCCCACAGTCAACAGTTCTGCTGCTATGTATTTCGCAGTTCAGCCGTTTTGCAAGACATTGAAGAGCCGCCACGGATTCGTACAACCAATCAGTTTCGCTGCGGGTCACGTGACTCTGTACACCAATCGCGTGAATTGTCCCTTCATCTGTTTTCAGGTGCGGGAATACTTTGATTCTATTCGATTCTCATACGCGAAGAAATTAACGAATAATTATTTTTGCGAAAACAAACATTATATATTGCAAAAATATGTAGGTAGTATTAAAATCATACGGTAACGTCATGTTTCTTTTATAGATTATTTAATAATACTTACGAATATTAATATAATCTGTTCTGTAATAATCGAACCATTTTTTTTCTTATTAACAACATTACGTAAATTAACTGGAAACTTATACATATACATGTATTTTATATTTATTGTTGAAGTACGAAATATTTATACAGGGTGAGTCAAAAGAAACAGAATATTATATATTTTTGTGTAGATTTAAACATCGAAGAAAAACTGGAGAACATTGTATTAATTATAGAAGTGTTGTTACATGTTTCTTTTATTTAAATTTCACGGCGACTTTAAAGATTGCACTTACAATGGAAAAAAATATGACATCAAAACAGTTTTACAAGTTTGAATCTATATTTATATACACAAACTACGATTATACAATCTTATTTGAGAAAATCGATTTAGAACGTATACTTTTATTTTCTATTTTCTCATCTATTTTTTTTAGTAATATATTAATATGTATTTCAGAGTTCAAAATTATTCGACGGTCGTGATGTTATACATATGTGTATTTATGTCATCGAGTCAACACCGGGTACACAGGTATATAGTACAAAATACATAGTTGCCTTCTGCTTTTTGTGACTCATCCAAATATATACAGAACGTCTTACCTAAAATAAATCACACGCAAAAATATCTCTCTCCATTATTTATGATACTACACATATATCATTTCGTATGTAATTTGAATGACGTCGAAGATCAAATAAACTGCAAAGTCATTGTTTCTTACACATTGTAACTGACATTCAAATGTATCTACAAACGCGTATAGCATAATATTAAATATACATATATATAATAAATATAGAAAGAGATGCTTGAGCCGTTTATTTCAAGTCGTGTATTCTGTATACGAAGAGTGTATCATGTGGGTATAACTTCACTAGTGGGAGAGACAATGAAACGTGTCGAGAAATGATCAATAAAATTCTGTTCGGCATTTTCGTGTTCAAACCACTACTGAAATTATGACTACATATTATGGTACATTCTCTATTTATATATATAAAAACATATGTGTATATACATATAATTTTTTATATATATATAATATATATATATATATATATATATTTATAATTATCAATCCTATTGCTATTACGACTGTTATTAATATCGTAGAATCTTATCGAAGCTGGAATGATTTTTTTCACCGTAACGAAGAGGACATTCTGCTACCATTGTAAAGATTTCATGGCGGAATGATAACTGGGACTACGCTGCGAATAGAATTGCGAGTACCATCTGCGATAGGATATGATGCTTCTGTCTTCTTTCACTAGGAGCGGCTTTTTCTCGAATTTCTTTCGGTTCCAGATCGCCACGTCCCTCTCGAACATCAAACTCTCCCCTAAGAATATGATTAAGGCGTACGGGGAGAGCAGTGCCGGGGCGTAAATTACATGAACCACCTGATAACATTACAAAAGCGTTGATAACCGGAAGTCTTGATAATTCTACGCCGGCAGAATAATATTAACTAATAATAATAATAATACTAATACTAATACTAATATTAGTATTAATATTATTAGTATTATTAATAATAATATTAATTAGTATTAATAATAATACTAATATTAACAAATAATAATATAAATATAAAAGAGATCACCTTTTGCAGAAGAGGTTCCATTGGCGTCACCGTCTGGAATATACATAACGGGCCGAAAAACGTCTCCATCATCATCTCCACGTATCCTGGACCGATTTGCTGGACGTAGACGTCCAGGTGCCAGAGTTTGTACTTCTCGAAGATTATCAGACTGTGCCTCAACGTTGTGTAAGCTCTGTGATTCATATCATCCCCGTTGTTCTTCTCGTCCACTTCGCTGGATTTATTCTCCGACAGGGAGCTATGGGGTGTCCAACCGACGTTCGTCCAGGAATGTCGGGCGATCCTCGCAAGCGGATGGATAAAGTTTGATAACACCGCCGGTCCGTGAACAGCGCTTAAATGTGCCGTGTCCGCGCCATTCTCAGCAACTTCCTGCGGCAAAAGCAACATCATCGTTTCAGCTCCTGGTACAATAAATTAACAGTTTTTTTTTCAATGGTAGGCGTTACGAAATACTTAAAAATCTTTATTATCCGACTGTGAAATTAATTACTTAATAATTCCGTTGATCACAGTGACTTTATCAATTAATTATCTTATAATTTAATTCATTAATTATCTTCGTTTGTTTGGATAATCAAGAATTTTTTAGTATCATTACGAAACAATTAATGAATCGAACAAAATATTTGTTCTTACATCCTGAAACGGTATTTTATATATTTCATTTTTTATATTTCATATTTTATATATATATCAATTTTATATAGCTGACATTTTAGACTTTGGGATTTTGACATTTAAATTTTGACATTTTAGACTTTATGAACATTTCGGGGAATCAGTTTCACAGGGTCGATATTCCGATAGTCGCTAAAATCGGCAATTTTTTGTTCGAAATACTTTTTCAAAAAATCGATCAGAAACATCTATCGAAACTTAGAAGTGTATTAATGAATAGCATGGACGTTGTTCGCCAGCCGGGGAATACTGAAACTGACCTGTATATGGCAGTTGATAAGATACTCGTTTCGGCCCTGATAACGCCACGTGCGATTCGAAACATTGCTGACCGTTTGCGGCTGCCAGGTGGGCTCTAATCCTTCCGCGTGATACCAGACGAAAATAATTCCGTTCGCTTCGCAACATTTCCATGTCTTTGTCCTCGCTATGTGCGGCACTGTACAATGGCAGACATCGAAATAATTTTTGTTAAATCAAGAAATAGGAACGAACGAAAGTGTTGAGATGTATCGGATAAAAATTAGATAAAATCCAGTGAAAAATTACAGATTATATCGCGTTGAGAGTGCGCGAACAATAGTATCGGCAGCTTAGCTTCAGTTCTTGAGAGATTCAATTTCAACGCTATTACGATTCAATTTTAACGCATTTACGATTTTATATGTTATATAGAAAAAGTAAAATAATTCTTTTGAAAACATATATTGGTCATAATTCTATTGAAAACCAGCATACGTTTAAAACAATAATTTAACTTATTATATAGTTACTATCATATCGTTATTGACACTAGATTATAATATATAGATATATAATATAATATATAATATATATAATATAGTAATATATATTATATAATATGATATAATATAATATATAATATATATAATATAGTAATATATATTATATAATATGATATAATATAATATATAATATATAGATATATAAATAAACAAATAAATGTATAAATATATATAAATAAACGAGCAAATAAATAAATAGATAAATGTATAAGTAAACAAATAAATAAATGAATAAGAAAATTCCGAGCCTGTTAGAGTTTCCAAAAATTGACAGAGGCTGATAAAGAATTACCTTTCTCGGCGTACGGGATGTAATCGCATTGTCCGTCGGAACCGCGAAACTGCCATCCGTGGAAGGGACACTCTAAGCAATCCCCTCTGACCCGGCCACCCTCGGCCATATTGGCGCCGAGGTGAGGACAGTAAGCGTCTAAAATCCTCACCGTCCCGTTATCTGTTCTTTAAACGAACGGGGACTGCTGTTAATTCAACCCGCCCGACCGAATGCGACCGAATCGCAGCATAAACGTCGAAATACCTGAATGCGGCGAAATTCTCGCCGAGCGCTGCCACGTGCTTCACCTGGCCGCGAATTAATTGGAAGCTCTCTAAAAGTGCGAACCAGCCGTTCGGATAAACCGGAGGAAGCTTGCCCAATTTCCGTTTCTTTGACTCTAAGTGATTAGCGAGAATCATTTTGCTATTCCCCTGTATCCTGAGGTCCTGCAAATGGAACAAAGACCTTAGATTATTATTATTATTATTATTATTATTATTATTGTTATTGTTAATCGTCTTTGCTATGCGCGAACGCGATCGCGCGATTGCAGGGTGTTTTGCTAGAAATAAACGCTTCTCAATGGAAGATGAAACAATTAGGAGCATCGATCGTGACATTGGTACCACGTGCCATTATTTATAAATAAATAATTATTATTATATTATATTATTATATATATAATAAAATATAATATAAAATATATAAATATATAAAAAAATATAAAAATAATAAATATAATAATATATATAATAATAAATAAATAAAAAAATATATTATAATAATAAATAAATAATAAAAATAAAATATAACAAGCGAAATATTATAAATTAGCAAGCAATTTTACGGGAACGAAATTAACAGCTACGCGCAATGAACAGAGTCATCTCGGAAAGATTTGATTCGAACAATGCTCGGCCCCGACAACGGAAATATGCTTCGAAGTATTGAAGATTCGACGCTTTTCTTTCGAAGCGTGTCACGAGTCGCTGATGCGAAGAAAAAGGATTCTTCTGGTTCTACTGTGTCGCGCGTTAACAAAATCTGCTTTCACACCTTGCGAACACAAATGTCATCGCACCGGCTCTACGTGTCGCCTGTGTTACACTATACCGAGGCAACGAACGAAAACAAAGATAATAAATAATATCGTATTTCGTAAAAATAAAAAATTTATATGCACTCTTTTTTTTCTCTCACGGAGACAGGGTAAAAGATGCGACAATCGTTTCCGGTAATGGTCGCCGAAGCGTAAAAATGTCCGCGCAACTTCGTCGCAGACTCGACCGATCTCTATCGAAATTTAATGTTAATCTCATGGTAAACTAATGCAATCCTCTCCCGTGTTATAACAACTATTCCAGAATAATACGCGACGGTGACAAACGACGGACGAGAGCGTGTCCACGTTTCTGCGATAAATAAAAATCGTTCGAGGCCCGAGAAAATCGGAACAGTTCAGATTTCGCTTCGTTCCCGAGAAAATCGAATTTGGCATTTCGAGCGCGTGTAATTTGGCTGAATTCTATTCGAATTCTATTCGAATTCTATTCTAATCGCGTTAAATCGTTTTAAATTCAGCGTAACGTGAAAATACGATTAAACGGAGCATACGTTGTTTGTCAAATCTTGCAAATGCTCCATCGATCCCGGCGCATAAAAGATGAAATAGATGTTAGCTTACAATTATCACACGTGCACTTAACCGAATTTCGAACATAGTCCTCTTCGAAAGCGATACATCTCGATCACATTTGTCACTATTGTTTGCTACGCGGCCGCACTGCTCCGAAACTCGATTACTCAACGATCACACCGAGTCAACGTAACTCGCATCATTTCCTTGAAAATCGGAACGTCTGTCAGTCTCTTTAAAAATGTTCACCACGTTCTATCGTAAAACGAACGACGAGTAGAAAATCTAGCCGAAAATTCTCGTTGAACGTTTAATCGATCCGTCTATTTATAAACAGCAATTCTCGTTCAACGATTAACATCGATCGATTTAAACAGCGAACCGTGAATAAATGATTTTATCGAATCCGAAATGAGAAATCGACAATCGTGGTGCAAAAGCTTCGTTCCCAATCGATCCGGTAAAGATGAAGAAATGATCGAATCAAGGTGATAATTATGATCGTTCCCCGTTGGATCTCGAAAGATACTTCGATGTTCACGAGATGATCTAGTGTTGCCCGACTGTCAAACGCGTAGCCCGATAAAAAGACGATCGTCCCTTTTCGAAAGAAATAAAGAAAGAAAAAAGAAACGATACGTCGAAGAATCCGATCGAACGAAGATCTCGATGTTATTATTTCACTGTTTTGATTGGGCTGTTTAAAAAAAAGAAGAAAAATGACACACGCCTGTCCGTGGAACGGACGGTGAAGTTCAACAGTGAAACAGCCGTGGACACGTTATATTTGTAACGATGTCCCTAAGATATCGGTGGTTCGCTATGTGTTTCACGATGACCGAGGACGCCGGTTAAATACGTTGTATGTATAAGTAGGTAAGCCGGGCAGATGGTATTGAGGAGGACTCACCTTGATCAAGTTCATCTTGAACAAATAGGGAGCGAGGAGTATACCAAAAAGCAGAAGAAAAGCACCGCCAAGGTACCACCATCCGGCCATTGCTGTCTTCTTTACCCTCTGCCCCCGAACGAAGAAGAGCAAGTGCACTCTAAAAACTTGTCCCTCCGGAACACCTTCGGTAGCCACCTCTCTTACTCCTCGCACTCGCCGTCTTTCTCTCTTCCTTTCCCTCCTTCCTTTTTTCGCTCCACCATCCACCATCCGGCCTCCTCCTTTTTTCTCTCCCTTGCCTTCTCTCTTCGAGCCAGAACCAACTTCGCGTTCTCTCCCTTTCTTCCTTTCCTTCCTTCCTCCCTCACTCTCCCTTTTTCTTCTCCTCCCTATACCCTTCCCTGCGTTATCATTCTCTCCCCGCGTCCCCCCTTCCTTCCACGTTCGCTCTATCCGTCTTCCTCTATTCCTCCTTTACTCCCTTTCCTCCTTTACTCCCTTTCCTCCTCCACCTCCCTCCCCCCAACGATATTTCCCTCCTCTTCTACGATTCCTCCTCTTCGATCCTCCTCGTCCTTCTCTTTGCACCTGTCCACCACGACCTCCTCCTTCTCCTCTTCCTCCTCCTTCTCCCTTCTCCCTTCTATTCAATATTTCTCCCTGCACGTGAGATTGACGCGTTTTCGATACTTCGCCGGCGTGCAGGACTTCACGGATTCGGACTTCGACGTCCGACGAATATCCCGGGACCGGCGCCCGGGGACGGCCGACTTGGATTTAGATCGAGAGACCGGCGTGCGGATCGACGGATCGCGACGATGCCGGACGATAAACGGGGCGGGATCGTCGGATCATCGATTCGTCGATTGCCGGGCCCACTTTTTCGTAGTTTTCACGAGATCCGACGAGCTCCCGGATTTCTGACAACACGATTGCGAGAGAGAGAGAGAGAGAGAGAGAGAGAGAGAGAGAGAGAGAGAGCAGATATCACAGAGTCCCGATCGATCTCTAAGATCTCTCGTTTCTAACGCGCCTCGAATCTTTCGTGTTCCCCTTTTTTTTACCCTCGACGAGAAATTCCAGCTTCGATCGCCACGAATTTCCGACTTTCCCAGCGAAATTCGATCGGCGAACTATCCGCGGAATTCTCGACCGTCGTTAACGCGACTTAATAATATCTAATAAATCTGTATAACAACGTGAATCAGCGTTTCTTTTTCTTCCTTCACTGTGCTCTCCGCGAACGACGATGCTCGATTCCTCTTAGACCGAATTTCTTCTTCCGTTCCTCCGACAATGATCTTCTCGCCGCGGTCTTCACGCGTTTCCGTCACTTTCCCAGGAACATGAGATTCAGCGTGCCGGTCCCGAAAGGCTTCACCAGACACTGGACAGCACCAAAGTAGAACACGATAGAACGAAACGCCGGGAACGAAGGAGATCGAGACGCGCGGTGGAAGAAGGTCCTTGCAGACCGATTCCGAACCCTCGATCGTTTTTCGAACGACTGAGCCACTTCATACCTTAGACACAGCCTTTTATACCTTCCTGAGGTAGACCAGCTTCCTCGTCGACATTCAGAAGTCCATCAGGAGCCATCCTTTCGCACATAATTGATCTACGATGGTTGCTGTTGTTTCGCTTTGTCAGCGAACGCCCACGTATTTGCGAACATGTTTTTAACAATACGTACATTCCTCCGCTCGCTGTAACAATAATAATAATATAAATAATAATATATAATATATAATATATAATAATAATATAATATATGATATATATTATAATATATATATAATGTATATTATATATAATAATATATGATATATATTATAATATATATATAATGTATATTATATATAATAATATATGATATATATTATAATATATATAATGTATATTATATATAATAATATATGATATATATTATAATATATATATAATGTATATTATATATAATAATATATGATATATATTATAATATATATATAATGTATATTATATATAATAATATATGATATATATTATAATATATATAATATATATTATATATAATAATATATATAAATAATAATAATTGATTATCGAACAATTCGACGGCACCGTGCGCCATAATTAATGTCACGACGAGATAGAGTTCTGTCTGAATTAATCAACAAAATTTTTGCAACGCTGTATCTATCGAAATACGGTAAATTCTCCCTAATCGATCCTCAGCTTGGATTCAAAAATGGAGAATTTCAGAAGCGGAGATACGATTGTTCGATCCTCGCGGCTCGTTTTTATAGTCGCCGATTCTCGACGATTATAAAAACGAGGCGAAACTGTTATTAATCCCCATTTTTGGGTTTGCAAGCTGAGAGGGTCGATTAGGGAGAATTCACCGCGTACAGAGAAACTTGAATAATTGTTTTCTTCAAACATGGTCATAATTCTATTAGAAACCAACGTATGTTCGAAGAACGTTATTTCAGTTTTTCTGTGTACAATAAATTTTGCCGAATTAGCGTCGAATGTTAGCAACGATGTTAAATAAACGCTTTGTAAACAGTCTCGTTGACGGTCGGCTCGAACCCGTTGTAGTTCCCCTCTTCCTAAATCGTCCATTTTCGTTTAGAAGCCGAAGGAAAATTCGGGAGAATTTATTGCGTTTCGAACATCTATTTCATCTGGTCGATTAGCAATCGTCGGTCCGCCTTTTCCATTCCCGGCGATATCTCCCCGCGGAGGGGAACGCAGGATTTTTCGAAAAGGACGCGGCGGCGTCTTTTGAGATCGACGGGAAATTCGAGAAAATCGTGGTCGTCTGTGACGGCGCGTCCGAGCGTCGGCGACAGAGAGAGAGAGGAGAGAGGGGGAGAGATAGGAGAGTCGAGAGAGAGAGGAGAGAGAAAGAGAGGAGAGAGAGAAAGAGGAGAGAGATAGGAGAGTCGAGAGAGAGAGGAGAAAGATAGGAGAGGAGAGAGAGAGGGGAGAGAGATAGGAGAGGAGAGAGAGAGGGGAGAGAGAGAGGAGAAAGATAGGAGAGGAGAGAGAGAGAGGAGAGAGAGAGGAGAGGAGAGGAGAGAGAGGAGAGATATAGGAGATGAGAGAGAGAGGAGAGAGATAGAAGAGGAGAGGGATAGGAGAGGAGAGAGAGAGAGAGAGAGAGAAAGAAACAGAGAGAGAGGGAGCACGTAGATCAAAGAAGAGCGGGAACGGCAGGGAAATAAATGTGGAAAAACCGGGTAGCGTGGATGGAAATGGACACGGGGACCGATAACTAGAACCGATAAAATCGAAACCTGGAAGAGAAAAGGCAAGGAGGCTAAGCAGAAGCAGAACGATTCGCGATCGTACCGGAGATATGCAACGAGGGACTTGGAAATCGGCCGTGGCCTGCGCCGCTACTCGGAACTGAAAAATCTGGTGATCGATGCGTGGATCGCGTTAAGATCCTCGAAAACAAACCAGGTAGACGGGACTCGAAACCAACAAATATTCCGGAATGTCTCTCGAACGAACGAATGCGACGCGGATCAACGAGTCACGTGTTCCTGTTTGTGAACCTGTGTAACGTGCACGATTTATCGCGCGAATCGATTTCATTGCGATTCGAATTGTTACAGGGTAGAATTCTCGGGCTTGGACGAAGAATTTTTATATGTACATTACTGTATATATATGCATATACATATATTGCAAAAATATTGCGGAGAGACTACGTTATGTCCAACGCTTTATGAAACTTACAATTAATTCGACGTTAATTCGCAGTCGTTTAGAACCGAGAACAATTAACAAATCGCATGCCATTGTAATCGAAAAACTATTCTCTATCGTTCAAGACCGATTGGAACTTTCGAACGGTTTTTTTCTTTTCATGCAATGCCTCGTTCTTGGCGGAGATTCAGGGTTTTTACAGAAACTCGTTCTTTTTTTCCAGAACTCAGGGTGATGGAGTAATTTGATTTTCGCATTCTTGCTTACTGTTCCGAAAAAAATGGGTTTACTCGCCATCCTGTGTCACGTGAGAATATATAAATATATAATAATATATAATAATATATATAATAATATATAATGGTATATATAATATATATAATAATATATAATAATATATATAATAATATATAATAGTATATATAATATATATAATAATATTTATAATAATATATATAATAATATATAATAATATAGTCCCTTGAATATTTCAAAAATATATTTAACTCGGCCCTGCTAATCGAACACCAACGGGACGTGTAACAGGAAAATGAGAACGAAGAATGGTCGCCGATTACATCGGCGAACAGATTGAAACGAAGCCCGTCGAATATTTTTAATGTTTTGTTTTTCTTTTTATTCTGTATTTTATACACGTTACACAAGACGCGGAGTTAACCTACGCGACGATTTGGTTCGTTGACGTACGCGCATTCAGAAAACGAGTTTTCTCTCGTTGCTCATTAATGTTAGCAACGTTCGTAGTCGCGGCATACCGCAGAAAAGATCGATACAATTCGAAAGATTAATAATTAAAATTCACTCGTACACACGCAGGAATAGACAGTACATACATACATACATACATACATACATTCATACATACATACATACATACATGTATGTATAAGCAGATAATCGCGGATGTTCATGCAAACACAGACTTTTACGAACGATCGAAAATCGAAATCGCGAATAAACGTTTTTCACGAGGACTCTCGTTTATCGATGTCCGAATTACGCGAGAGAATCGTTTCCGATCATTTTGAATTTGCTAGTACATACACGTCGAATTTCGAACGACCCAAATGTATTCTATAAATCGGCTGTTTATGAGCGCAATTATGAGCACAATAATTATGAACTACGCGCGGTGCCGTGTTGGCACGCGAGACCCATCGATTACGCACTCGCTTTTTTGTCTCGGAAGCAACGCTTTAAATCTACATTGTTCGCTTTTTCATCGGAGCACGCGGTTGAAAAAAGGGAACAATGTAGCATCCGAACAACGGAAGCGAAATGTATCAATAACACAAGATAAACGAGATGAATTTTTTCCCTGTTTGTTCATCCTGTAACCGATGGCGGCGCGCGTTCGCATGTACAATTGTTCGCCGACCATAAAATGAATTCGTCGATTATACCAATGAATAAATAAACAAATCGAGCTGACCGTCGATTCGTTTATATATTGTTTTGTCCGGGATACGAATTCGTACACGAAAATCCGTCGGTTCGATCGGGAACGAACGTGTAACAAGTGTCGAAGGCACTGTGGCGAGAACCAAAAAAAAAAAAAAAAAGAAAAAATACAATGAGAACAAAACCGAAAAACAAAAACAGAGAACAACGTGTTTTTTTCGTTTTCGTGTAACCAGTAACGTTATCTATAACGAATTTCAACGATAACACAGATTCGTTTTCGGTAGAAACAATGAACAACCGTAAACAACGTTCTTTTCTTTTTTTTCTTTCTTTTTTTTTGTTAACCAGACATTATATAACAGAAACAAAACTATCGAACGGAACATTTTCTTTTCATTTTTCTTTTTTATGCGCGTATATTTTACGTGGAAAGAAATTTTCACGCGCAATGCATTTATTACCGTGAACGCTTTACGCGTGAAAATAATGTGCGACACTTCCGACACGTAAAATATCGATTCTTTTCTTCTTTTTTTCTATTCGTAACCTTGGCAAACAAAAACGTAACTATTAAACGTAACACGAGCCTCCTCCTGTTTCGTTCCGAAAACGTGCAAACAAAAACGTAACCATCAAACGTAACCTTCGGTTTTCTGTTTTGTGCCGATTTAACAATAAAACATCGTTTTTTCTTTTGTTTACTCTTTTTTTTCTTTTTTCTTCTTTTTGTTTGCAAACGAAAACGTAACCATCATCGTAACTTCGGATTTTTGCTTTCCCTCGATAATTAAACAGTAACTCAACGAAGCGATAACATTAACGAAAACAACAGAGAACGAACGAACGAACTTAACGCGCGACAAACTTAACAATAACCAACGATAACATTCTGTTTAACAATGGAAACTCGGAGTCTTAGTAACAGACGTGCGAACAATACGTCTAACATGATTTAACAAACACGGGACGTAAACTTAACAAGGCAAACATAACGATAAAAAACGAAACAAGAATTATGTTTAAATTCGCTCTGCATCACCTCGATCGATAACAAACTTTAATCGAACGCTGTCATTTTTCTTTCGACTTTGACATTTTACGTTTCATAGAAATGCTTTGTATTCGTTAATTGTCGAAATCAAATTTCAAACTTCCAAAATATGAACGGTTTATCGAAATAAGATTCATCCATTTTTGTGGCTTCACATTTGATTTAGAAAAAAAAGATGTATTTATCATTGAACACGCTTCCGGGAACAATTTTGAATAGAAGAAATAATTTGGAACTGTTGTCGAATGTAAATTTTGATTTTTCTGCATTGTTATAGCCGCATTATATATTTTTGAACTGTGAAATCTAATTTAGAGAATCAAATTATTTTCTATTCTTAGTCATTTTTGTTAGCAGATGTGATTTTCTTTAATTCTCAGAGTATTTAAAATATGGCAAAAATAATTTTGAAACCGTTCTTGTAATAGAACTAAATACATACGTGTGAATTACTTTTTACCGCATTCTATGAAACATTTATTTTTATTTTATCGTTATTTAGATATACTTAATTTTAATACCTCAGTACTATTGAAATACGGTATAAACTTCACTTTTGTTTTCTCATTTCCGACGAATTCACTTTTTCGTAACTTTAAGAAAAGTTTGTATTTGCAATGTTTTAAATTTGTTCACATTCTTACAAAATTTTAAAACAGTTTTGATTTTATATCTGCCAAACAGAAAATGCAATTTTTATTTCAATATTCAACAGAGGCCTGAATATCTCTCCCTGAAAATAAATTTTGATATTCGTTTGTGTATGCCAAATGTGTGACATAATTTTGACTACAATAATAATAATTCGAAAGAGTTCCAAGTATTGTTTGCTGAAAATCAATTTTCATTATCTGTCACATATTTCTGAAAGTATGTTTTAACATTTCCAAAAGTTGAAAAAGACTTTTAGTTCTGCACTTGCCAAATGTTGGATGTAATTTTTACAATTCCTTGACTAAATTCCGAATAAAGATTTTTGAAGAATTGGAACACGATTTCGAATTATATAGGTATATGTATAATATATCAAGCATGCAATAAATTTTGATAATTTAGGAAATTGGAACACAATATTAATTTCAATCTGTCACATGTTAGATTCAATTTTTAACTCAATAATATCAATGCACAGTTTTGAAGAAAGATTGCGGAAAATTAATTTTGATAATTTGTTACATTTTTTTCGTTTTATAACACTGTAAATGCAATTCGAATAAACAGTAAGAATGTTAAACTATAATATCATAATTAATCAACGTGAAAACTTGAACGATGAGAGAACAAACACGTTTACACAGTATTTCACAAGAGATGATGCCCTTTTTTAACCGAAACAATTTTTTTTATGTTTTTTATGTTTTTTTTTCCACGTATTTCTATTTCTCTGAAATAGATACACATTCAAATGTGGCGATTGTCTTCTTCTGCGTATATTCCCTTGAAGAAGTTTTATACTACATTCCAGAATTGTTGCCAATTCGTTTAACT